TTTTATAGAACATATATGTATTTCTTTATTATGCTTTGATACTGTTTCGTCAGATTTATCCATCAGCAAAATGTTTTGAATATGAAAGCCCCCCCCCGCCACTCGCCGCCAAATGACGGTAAGCGTACCTCATATGAGTCTTTTACAGATAATGGTTAGGGTAAAGCACTGAAAATAATATAAAACAATGTACATAAACAAAAGGTCATCAAATACGCGGTTATGATATGTGTATGTATACACACACACACACAGACATATATATATATATATATATATTATATATATATATATATATATATATATATATTATATATATACACACATTTCGTATATACACACATATGTGTATTGGATGATCTTTTGTTTATATACATTGTTTTTATAATTATTTCAAGTATGCGCTCACCCTTTATGCAGACTTGGGACTCCATAGAGTATTCTTGACTCTAGTTGGGTTTACATACAACACACACACACGCACAAAGCCATTCACGCACACTGTATCAGGCCTCTCCTGATACAGTAGGTACCCTGGGTGCCGGATAGGTTATCACAAAATCTGACCTCGCATTTAGATGTAATTGCCTAATTGCGAGGTCAACTTCTGTGATATATATTCATCCGACACCCCCCCCCTTCCCTCTTTCCCACAGCAACCCCAACAGAAATGTACAATAGAAGCGCTCACTGCCACCACCCGTTTAATACGTACGGGAACGAGGTGTGACTTGGAAGAGGTCAGTGTGTGAGAGAATTGTGGAAAAGAGGGAGAGATTGGGTACGGATGTTGTGGTGTGTGTGGTAGAGGATGTATGAGCCAGCGAGACAGGAATGGTGAGCGGAGCGAGGAGGACGAACGCGGGAATTTCACCACGCAATATTTCAGAGAAGGATATTTTCTGATATGAATATTCCCTTCCAGGTACATCAGCAGGCACCTTAATCTTTACTTTTTCCTTCCAGGCAAGCAACCTGATCTTTTCTTTAACCTTCCAAAAGGTTAAAGAAAATCACAGACAAGCTAAATTCTTTTATCATAAAGTGAGCATTAAAAGTAAGAAACACTAGACACACAAGTAAAATTAAATAGTACACAGCACTGAAGGGAACGGGGACTAGTCACTTTCGAAGTTCGAAGAAGACAAAAGTTACAAAAGCACTCAAAATAGGAGTTCCGCCCAATCACCTAAATAGGCAAAAGAGAGCACCAGCCTTTGTTCATTTTGCTCGAATGTACATTGATCGAGAGGAGCACTTTGCCACGAATAAAAACAATTCTCACGACCACAATACCTATCACGTGCTGTAGTATCACCCACTCAACGATTACAACCAATTACAACACAAAAGAAGAGGACCGCCCAGTCTAGGGTGTCTCCTGCCCCAGCCTGCAGCAACTACTACTCGAAAAGGAGGGAACCACCTAATTCTACACCTGTGTTCCAAGGAGCACAGGTGAATGTTACGCATTTAAGATTTTTTTATTCGATTCTTTTAATAAGGAGATTTCTTACGGCTGCTTTCTGTAGATGCATTCTTTTTATTTGCCGACCATATAAAGAAAAGAAACTACTTGAGGATAAAAATAATTTAAATTAGAAAAAGCCATAATTAAGAGAAAACTTTTGCAGCCATAACTTTACTATAATTACGTGTTTTATTCGTTTTCGAGTTCTTATCTGTGTTTCTAAAGCTGGTGCTCTGTGGCGAAAAGAGTGACGGGTTTCAATAAAACAATTATCAACCTCTTACACTCTTACGGAGATAGACATCTATTAATATAATAATGAAAATATCGGCATGTTTATGACTCCCGGTTGCAATCTCTTATTCCCCCCCCCCTCTCTCTCTCTTGAAAGGAGACGGTGTTTTCTCTACGGTGGCCTCTGATATCTGCAGCTTCGTCCCCATCACTATATATATATATATATATATATATATATATATATATATATATATATATATATATTGAAATTTACTTATTTCCTTTTGTAACTATTCTCTCCTTCTCCCCCACTCTTATTCCCTCTTTACTCCGTTTCGTTCGTCGTTAGCGAGATCTTATTGAAATCGGGCGTGCAACTTCAATAGAGTTTTTTTCTTTCTGTGGGACATTTCTCGTGTTTTTCATGTCATTTCTGGCTGCTGAGGGAGAAACGATAATTAAACTTTTGATTATTGCATGGTGTTTCAGTCCACTACAGTACCAACGTAACGGAGGGGGGGGGGACCTACAGCCACACCATACATACACTTTCATATATACACTTCCATACACATATAAAATAGGTTAAATTAAAGATATAATACATTATATACAATAATGAAATAAATGCTATTCTAGAATTAGAAATAGATTATTTTCTTTGTAACTCAAATAAGATTTTTTTTAGATAATGTTAAAAAACTGTTTTTTATGTCATTTTCTCTATTTTTTACTTGTTTGTTTTGTCAATGTCAAATATTTTTTAATGTCATATATATATATATATATATA